AATTAACTCTCAGCAAGTCAAAATGCATAATTACGACAATGACAAAACTGCATCGTACAATAAGGTCATCATACTGTACATTTACAACTTTAACTACAAAGAATTATGACTAAATGTAATTGTGTGTTTGTGTGTGTTACCACTGACTTTGTGAGCCTGTCAATAGCATGGACATTCAGATTTGTGTGATTCCCAGCCAGCACAGCTTCGTGCTCTGCACACCTAAAACACAATCCTGCCACACGGGGGGGTTCCATCAACTGAATTCCCAAATAAATATGTTCGCTACTTAATATCCAGTTTTATTGGTTTTCATCTGAAAAAAATGTTTTAGGGGTTTAATTAACCTTTAAGCATTGTATTTTATTGTGTTATCTGAACTGCACTCCTTCTGGTATTTCCATGTGCATATATTTAGCAGATAAATCAAAACTAACAATACTAGCTATAGTCTATACTAGTTTCAATTTATGTGCAAAATTAGAATTTTTTTCCGCTTCACTTGTCTTTAGTCTAACAGCTTTAAGTCTCGCAGTAGAGACAATATCAAGGTGTTGGCCTAAAGTGTTTTATATTACAAATGCTATGTCAGTCGTACTCTTGATTCCACGGAACAGTCTGTGACTCCTGAATGAAAGTACAAGTGAACTTCAAAGATAAAGCCAACAGCCGGTGAGGGTCAAGGTGCCATAACAGGCTGGTTTATTAAAAGGTTGATTAACAGTTGTTGCAACACCAACAGTACTACAAGTGCCACAGCAAACCACAAATGATAACCACAAAACAACAAGTGAACTCCCACTGCACCAGCCACTCCTGTCACTGCGGGCCAGCAACTGCTACAGCACTAAAACAATAAAAAGGCAGATTAACACTTTGCTTCACATATGAAAATACATGAAATAAAATATAACATAAACTGCAACCAGCACTTTGCTTGTAAAACGAACCCAGCACATGTAATTTTCAGTCTAACACAGTTTAAAAGTAAGATACATTTCCATGCCTCCCCACTGCAACTACTCCTGGACCGTTATGACCCTTTACAAAAGAAACTAACTGTTGGTAGACCCATACTCTGTAATAAAACCACTCCAACACCTTCTACATTAACAACAATCACACATTTCTAATCAGAACAAAACGTTTGCTCACCAAGAGGACACGTGCACAGGCGCACTCACCGGAGCAGAACGATGCTGACACACCTGAGCTCAATCAGCCTCTTCACTGCTGAGGCGCGCTCCCCTTGATTTGCCAGATTGGGCCTGGGTCCTAGAGTTTGATTTAGGTTTTGATCATCTGTTGTATGGCACTTTCAGCAATGGAGTGTGTTTTTTGCCATCTTATCTCAAATAACCACACACTTACATATTGTATGAGCCCATTAAATGTTTCCATTTTTTGTTGAAGCCACTGATTTTGCTTGTCAAGTAAATTTTCAGGCAGTGGTGAATTCACCAGTGACTCATGGTGTTCTTTAGCTTCATCACAGAGATTGATTAACTGCACTTGATTTGCATTTTCCTTTGATTTCATGAGCTCTTTCAGCTTTTGCTTTCATTTATTTTCTTGTTTGCATTTGAAGTTTCTTGTCTTCTGGAAATTTACTATGAACATTTCAAGGCCTGTGGCAGTGTGTTTAATAAGCATTGTTACTTCACAACATCGCCCTCTTGTGACAGAACATCAGACTTGACACTTGATCAATGTCCCTTTTAAGACTTGTGACTTGATCCAGGAAGAAAGCCCTGTTTAAAACAGGTGATATCTTTGTGAGCTTGCAGGAGGATTCAGCCGTTTTACAATACAGCGTACTATATAAAGCTGGTTTGTTGTTTACTGAGACAGTTGTGAATGACAGGAACGAGAGTTCTGTGAGTTATGTGCTGCTCTGTTCCTGGTCTGGTGAGAACTGTGTGGCCTTCCACTTCCTGTCACCTATGTCTCTACTAAACAATATGAGTCATTGATGCTTCAGTGTATAAGAAGAATATTTTACTGCTGGTTGTTTGGCAGATTGTTTTAATTACATAGCTTGATGATAGTTTACTGTTGTTTTCTTCACTGGTTCCCAACCTGTGGCTCCGTCCCCTCCAAAGGGTCACAAGAAGAGGGCCCGGTGACGCGTACTCACTGAGGTACCCGAATCAGCGCGAACAAGGAGGTGAATGAAACATCAGCTTCTTGTGACAAGACAAATCGCACTGTGGCTTCACGTAGAGTTTTGGTGAACTTTGACCTGCGATACTTTGACCTTGGCCTTTGTGTGACTGAACCCTAAATCTGAGGGGAAATGAAATGATTAATGTCAAATAAAAGAAGATCAGGAAATAGGGAATGTTTACATTTAGAGGTTGGTACTTTTTAAATGATTCTTCTGCTGCTTTTGGATTGGAAAAACATAAATACTAATGTGTCTTATATGTGAACAGAAAAATGAGTTAGTAGAAAGACAATTCTTTATATCCCTAATTAAAGAACCTGGAACAGAATGTAAAAATAGTTTTCTGACAGCATTGTTTTTGTTATTGTTTTGCCAACTGCATAGAAACTGGTGTGACACTTGGCACCAGCTCCACCTTAAGAATAAAAAGCTCATGGTATCTCAGGCATGTTTCTGACAAGGGAGTTTCTGTGCCGCCCATTAGACAAATAATCAAAACAGAGATCAAATGGCCAACATGTAATTATTTTAAAGATCTTAGTCATTTTAATTCTCCTCTGTAGATCTGATAAAACTGCTGTGGATCCCCATGAGGGAAGTGCTGCTGCAACAGAGAATATTATGCTGATAATTAAAACATCTAGTTATTAATGTAATTAAACTAGTTGCTGGATAACAAAACTGCAGAAAGTAAAGAGTCGTGTAGCGACAGGGTCAAAGATGAATAATATATTGTAACAGTTTGATCATCTGTTTCTGTATGTTAAATAAAACCTTCTTGTTCATAACATGTATATAATATTTGTGTGCTATATATCTATTGATAAATATTCCTTTATTTAGAAATACTGCTTCACTCTATTACAACTGAGAAAAAATTATCTTATGACGAAGGCCACAAGATGTGGCTGAAATCTGGACTTCTCAATCATTTTCATGCTCAACATGTCTTTATAAGTTATCAATACATTTATACATAGATTAAAAACTGGTTAATGTGTAATTATTAAATATTATTACTAGCTTAATATACTTAATAACCATATAAAATGATTCCTTAATTGTTAATTAATTGTTTGCTCACTATTAAACACTGAAATGTTCTTGTATCTGCTTACAACTACACAAGTGTTATAAATATTTTTTATGTACTTCTTAGGAAATGCAATAAATAGAAACAATAATCAAAAGTACCTGACATTTCTCATTCTGTCTAAGTGATAAAGTTTGAACATATTTCATTTAGTGGAAAATGTTAATAATCTAAGATCTGAGACACACTGTGTATATGGAGGATATTTTGTTTCCACTTAAAGGTGAAAGTTCCCTGCAGAAATGTCCCCAACTTGTGTGTAATACTGTTCAGTGGAAGGTTTTTATCTCACCTCTATGTTTGTTGCTGCTTGCAAATAGGGTTAGACAAAGGTAACCATGGATACGCCCTCTTCCTATTGCACAAGAACAGATTACTTCCTTTCCGATGACTCTACCCCGTACTTTTGATTTTTGCGACATTTAAGATTTCAACAGAAAAGGCGGTGAGTCAGACTTCGGTGGGCTCATTCATTTTATGTTGAAATCCAGATTGACATTTTCATTCACAGTTTTAAGCGACAGCTCAAACAGACTCTGGGTTTTTGTTTCTTTGTGTAAATATGAGTTTGCTATCTTTAAAATATTCCACAGATATTATGGTGAACACTTTACTGTACAATTCACCATGTCACCGCATTGATAGAGATTACATATTCCCCTCATCAAGGCTGCATTACAAAAGAAGACATACGGCCTCAGACTCCCACCAGCCCTGAAACAGCACATTTAAAAAAAGATTGTGCACGACTAAACCACCAGTGTAAATTTCTGGATTCAAACAAACTGAATTTAGAAAATTGAGAATTCAATTATTGATATATCTGTTTCTGGCCTGTGAAGTGTGTTTTTTTTTTTGCATCTGATATATTGCATTTGACCTTTTTTTTTTTCATTTGATCTTGTGAACAGTTTCCACCATGAGATAATTATTGAATTTTTAGTCCGATTTCATCTACGTCTCCCAGTTTTTAGATTATGCATCTTTTCTTGGACACACTTCTGCATTTCATTTTAAACAACAGCATTTCTTGTAAACGTTAGATATCTGCAAGCTTTTTAACCATAGATCTTTAGTAATGAAAATAGGTCACTTCAGTGAAGCTCTCACACACCAAGTCAATCTGTACTTGTCTGCAAAGTTGTGCTTGGGGAGTGTTTGCACACTGGGGTATTTCCAAGAAACCACATAAGCCTACATATATCTGACTGTGGTAAAGGCCCACGCACATACGACTCTGCAGTCCCACGCATGTTAAATGTCACCTCTGCCCTGCCACATATATTTATATATATATAAAACCCCCTCCCATTGCATGATCTGCTCCTCCTGAGTAAGCTGTGTGAGGGTGGGGGTTCACACTTATTTTATTTTTAAAAACATGACACTTATAAAAGCCTTGAAAGAACAGATTAGAGATTTTAAAAAAGCACCTAAGAAAAACATAGTTTGATCTTTCAGTTGAGGAAATGTGAAACAATAAAAAACTAAATAAGAGGTGGAGAGAACAAAAACAGAAAGAAAAAACACTGCTAGCCCAGTTAAGCGTAGGAAGGTGGTGCATGCTGCATCTACACGAGGCCTCAAGGGTTGGTACCTGTACTTCCTACACCCGTGATGGATTTGGTGCCAAAAGTGAGCGGCTGCTTTTCAGCAAAAACTGATTTAGGCAATGCACAGTACAGCAGAGAGGCAATGCTGTAATGAGAGTGCAATGTTGAAATCTGACAAAAACACATACACCCAACCAAACTGCATGTGCAAGTGCATGAAGGGAAGCACACATTGTGTCCCATATACACAGTGTAGAGACCACTTTTATAAGGTCAGTGTTTATATTAGAAGTACACACAAAATAACAACAGACAAGAACCACAGGAGACAGATTTCAGATTTCTTAATAAAAATAATTCATTTCAGGACGACATATAAATAATTATTGAATCACACAATACAGATATCTTGATATGAATAAATACTTAACAAATTAAATCAGGCTTTTTTCATACAATAACCTATTGAAAGGTCACACAGAGAAACTTCCACACCGTTTGCATGTTTTTGTTACACCTTCTGCTCTTACGCGGATGCTCCTCCTACTGTTGGAATGTCCCTAAGCGAGTCGCAGTACCATTCCTAAATGCCTCAGCAGCTTAGACAAGTCATGTGCAACTTACGTGATCATCTCCCAGTCAAGCTCCGCCAGAGCCCCAAAACCTTATTAAGGGGTACTGATGAGCTGACCACTAATTGGCCTTTAATTGATTAAGGTTTGTCTAGAGGTGATTAAAGCACACAGAGATCTACGTACAGGCTGTCAACACGTGGGCCGGCTCGACAGCTTTAGATACAGTTGAATGAAAAGGCAGACCAAGAGCCTGTTTGTCTACGCATATCTAACTAGAGCCACAGATGGACATCTGCCTATTGCAGCTGAGTTCTTCAGCAGAAGTATGAGGGGAATAACTCTTCGACTTCACATTGCATTTGATTAACTTTTAAAGAAAGGTTATCTCTGTAGGTACATAGGTCTTCATATTGAGATAAAATAGACACAGAAAGATGGGGGACTTCAGCATAAGCAAGCTTGACGAGCTCTAATCTGTTGTTACACAGGACTGGAGATGTCTATCTGTGGCACTCTTTATTAGTTCAGAATGGTCCAGGCTGGCCATTTTTAAGGAGGTAACAACAACTGTTTGGCGATTGATGGCACATGTTTTTTGTTTTTTTTTGGCAGAAACAAAACTAAGTATATCAAAATACAATTCAATATTTCCAAAAAACAAATTAAAAACAAAAATAAACAACAAACAGGAATGTCAGTTTTGCGTATTCCAGACGCACAAATGCGTGCATTATGTGTGTGTGTTGGAGATGAGGCATCGGGTTAGAGGGTCCTACAATGTGGACCGAGATCCATATTCACAAAAGCATTTTATAGGTGGGGGCACTGATCCAGGATCACTGATCAGGCCCCTCTGGTCCATAAATTTTTTAATCACTACTTAAAGGCAAAACTTGTCGAGGATCAGCCCCAATACTGTGCTGTCGTAGCAGCAGCACAAAACACATTCAGATAAACAAGATAAGCCAAAGCAGGCGATGGGACTGCTCTCTGAAGTTTTAAACTTGTCGCCTTGGCTCATCCAGTGGGGTGGAGCAAGAGAGGGATGGATTCTGGTTTTGTCAGAACTACCTCTGGCAGGGGTGGGGCGCATACAATCTCTCAGAGCTGTGTTTATATGTGCAGTGTGTGTGTATGTGTGTGTGTGTGGTAAGGTGAATAATCATCCAGACTGCACTGGCCATTGTGTTCTCTGTTCTCTCTATAGTTGGCAATCCCCATTTACACAGGACTGGAACCACAACATTTGCATGTGTAGATATGTGTGCGTGTGTCTATTCTAGGTGCTTGAGTTGTCCATAAACAGGAAAACAATGTCCAAGGCAACAGATCTGTTTTGGACGAGAAGAGGGGGAAATAAGAGGAAGGAAAGCAGGAATAGAAAGAGAATGAGTCCTGTCTCTACTGTGTTCTCTGTCTTCTGTCCGCTGACACCGCCAGCATGTTGGCTACAATGGAGAGGCTTGTATTTCTGTACATGTAGCACCAGAACTAGCAGGGGCCTGCCCTGTCTGTCTTGCACTGTTTGGACTCAGGATCTGTTCTTACTTTACATATCACACAACTCACAATGATAACTTCATTAACAGAGAAGTAACAATACTGAGGTTAATTTAACTCAAAATATAAACTAACACTTCTATTCATTGACTAATGGCAGAAAAATAATTCTTAAAAATTTGACAATATTGATTGCAAGAGCCTTTTTTTGGCAAATCTACTGTGGAAGGACATAAATGGATGATTTTGGAAAAGTAAGCTAAACAGTGGTGAATAACTTTTTGTTTCATGTCTAGAACTTCACTTACTTTGCTTTGGCCCAGTTCTGATCACTTCTTCTAACTACTTCCACAGATCTGTTGCTGGGGTCCCCCCCCCAACTACTGCATCCCTCACTCTACAGAGCAAATGCTAGACAGACAGGCACAGACAGATACACAGATGGGTTAAGACAGACGGACAGTCGGACAGACAGTCAGACAGACATAGGGGTATAAATCCTTGGCTGTGGTCTAGAAAGCAATGTCAGATGCTTCTTGTTATGTCGACATACAATCATTTTGTCCGGCACGACCTCTAAATACATATTGTACACAAGCATTAAGTCAGTTGCTTTGACATGTAGCCAAACCTCTCACCGTGTAGGTGCACAGGGCACATCAGATGATAATAATTGCACAAAGAGGTATTCTGGAGGCCATGTCTACTGCGAACACACACACACACTCACTCCCCCCCACGTACACACATTCTCTCTTCACATTCTACATGGGGGGTTTGATTTTCAGGCCATAAGGTTACTAGTTAGTCACTAGCTAGTTAGTTAGTTGGTTAGTTAGTATCAGAGGTGCATTGACTGGCATGGGGCGCCCAGAGCTGGGCAGCGGCTCTAGCGTGCTAGCAATGTGTCGTCATCGTTGTTGCGTGCATGGGTATGTGGTCAGCCGCGGTAAATCTGTTTGAAGTGGTCGCACTCGTTGCAGTAGCCCTGTTTCTCTTGGTTGGCGTAGTGGTCACAGCCCTGCGTCCGACACCGCTGCTTAGACTTTTCCTTGGGCGCCTGCGCCCGTCGGCCCACCTCTCTGCCCTGGCCTCGTGTGTGGCACTCTGGGCAAAGGTCTGTGCAACCGGGGGACACGTTACTGCAGCCGCTCCGCCGGCACTGAGTCTGGGTCTGGGATTGCTGCGAAGATCTGGGTTTAACTGCTCGGTCACGCTTTTTGTACAGAGAGAGAGGAGGGGAGGGAAAAAAAGAAAGAGATGAGGGGTCAGTTGGCAGCTGTTGATCAGCTGAATATTGTGAAAGTTGAAAATAGGAGAGAATCACAGAAAACAAAGCAAAGGAGGAATAACACAAAGGTTAAGTACAGTGCATCAAGAGAGACAGCAGGACTGTGTGGCGGCTCCCCTACCATGACTAAAGGAGGGGAGTGTGGTGTGCGATGTGCCACTTGGTTGAGCCGTGTGCTTTGCTCTTTGACGTAGCACTTGTCGCAGTAGCCCTCCAGCATTGCCTTGCCAACCGCACCACAACCAGGCCCACGACACCTGGTGGCATTCTGGAAGCCTGCCTCCAAACCATGCCGGCTCTGGGCCGGGGCAGGGGGAGGTGTCATGTCTGAAACAGAGAGTGGCCCACATTAGCAATGTCCTGTATGATATAATATTGAAGTTAAGAAAAAAAGAAGAAATCCGAACTTAACAAACTAATTGACAGATTGACAGACAACAATATTTTTCAAAAGAAAATGTATTGTTCATTAATGAGACTGAGAACTCGTGTTTGATTTCAGGACTTACGGTGGTTGGTCTGATAGTCTACGTAGCAAATAGTGCAGAAACCCAACTTCTCTGGTGTTCCAAAGAATTGGCAACCAGATCTTTTACAAGGCCGTGCCAGAGGGGCCTGCCAGGCTGAGGTGTGTCCTGGTGTTATGGTTAGGCACGGCCGCTCAGAGTCCCTGGCCTGGCTCCAAGCTGAAGAAGAGGCCTCAGTTCTTGGGTTGCTCTGCTGTGGCTCTCCCCTCTCTGGAGGCTGCTGTTTCTGCATGCAGGGCGGACACAGGCCATTGAATATCCTGAACGCCTCCTGTCTACACATGCTGCATCGCTCTGTCTCTGTCTCACAGCCCCCCCACTGGGTCCAGCCGGAGCCCTGGGCCGGGTGGGGAACTGTAGGCCCCCCATTGGGGCCTGGGAGTCCTGTGGCAGCCGTTCCAGCTCCAGGGGCTCCTTGGTTCTGTGTGGAGTTGAAGCAGCGCTCACAAAGTCCATCATGCTCTACGCTAAGAGTGAAGAGGCAGCCGGGTGTCTTGCACTTCATGGCATGAGTTTCACTGTACAGGCTGAGGCTGGGGGCAGTGGGTGGTGCTGAGCGAGGGCTGGATATCACCACCCCTCTCCCAGACGAGGAGGATGGGGGGCTGCTGCTTCGAGCCCCTCTAGAGTTCACCTCGGTCTCTGATCCCCCCATTACACCGACCCCACCTTGTACCCCTCCTCCCTTGGCCTGTATCACCCCTTCTATCCTCGCTCCTCCACCGGTGGTGGCCTGTCGCTTCTCAAAGCATTCGTGGCAATGAGGTTGCGTGTCTACAGAGACGTAGAAGGTGCATCGTGGTGTGGCACAGCGGATTTCGATGAGGGAGAGCTGGGAGACGGAAAAGGGTGGTGGGCGCTGTGGCTGGGCAGCCCATGCCTGCTCCTTGTCCTCCTGCCAGCGCTGGTACTCGTGGTTGACGAGCTGCAGGTAGTCCTCCATCAGGTTCATGTCTTCAGGAAGATTGCCCTCGTCCAGCCTTCGGACAGAGACACACAAAGTGGTTCTTTACTTCATTCAGTCTTTCTTTACTATTATTATCATACAAATATATAACGATATATAGCTCTCATCAGCTGCAACATGCAAAACTACCTTTGACATTATGGCCGACCTCTGGGACTTTATTGTTTTGCTTTTTCTCTTCCATTTGTCAATTCATAGGACGAAGCTAACAGTCTTTATATACCTTGCAGCGTTGATGATCCGTAAAACATCGTAGCCCAAGCCTATGACGGGGATCTCTATCAGGAACAGGTAGTCTTTGAGAAGTCTCTCTTTCTGCTGCTGCTCTTTCTCCATCAGGAAGTGAACCTTCAGCTCCTCGAAGTCCCCCCGTCCTGGGTTGATCAGTGGCACAGCTCGGATCTCTGGGAAATACAGACCAAGACATTGCATTGAAATAAGAATATGAGCAAACCTCATAACAAGCGTCTGTGTTTTTCCATTTGGAATCAGCTACATAACACCAGTCTCACCTTTTCCACTGGTCAAAAAACTCATGAAAACCTATGAACATCTGTTTTTTGTTTGATATGGGACTGGACACAGCCAGCATTAACTCCCTGGTCAAATGACTCCACAGTGATGAAAACTTGACACCTGGGTGAGCGCGCTACTTTGTGTGAAACAGGTATTAGTGCTTCCTACCTGGACCACTGTCTTTGATGGTGATGAGGGGTGCAAAGTGCTGGGAGTCATAGCCAAGCACTATTGGGTATTTGTAGCACTCTGTGGGTGGCCAGTGCAGCGGCAGATAAATCCCACCCACATTCAGAGGAGAGATGGAGGAGCCAGATTTCATACTCCTGACCACCTGGTCTGTTGGAAGAACAGAGATTTAAGAGTCACTAGTTATTTCAAGAAAGTCCAAGAACAACTTGTTTTTAATGCACATTTCTTTGGATGTATTGTCTGCATGTTCCTTAGGGAAATCAAACTTTGGAAGGTTTTTTAAATGTATCCTCCTATCCTAAATGTTACTTTTCAACCACAACATCCACTCTACATCTGCAAACCAAAGTTGATGGGAGGTGATGCAGTGGAATCAAACAGCATGAAAACTTCAAAAAAAAAAAAAAATAAAAATGTTGAGGCTCTAAAGCTGAGTATATACCATCTCTATTCTACATACAGGACCAATGAGGGCCAACAAGGAGCTATATACATAGAGAAGGTAGAAGGTGACTACCTGCAATGACGATGATGGGTCTGCGGAGAATGTTGGACAGGACGAAGATGTGAATGTCCTCCAGAGAGTCAAACTGGAGGCCGTTGCTACTGGAGACGGGAGAGGCCATCTTCACAATCTTTTCCCACTCCTCCTCCCAGTTCTGGGACAGAGCACACAAACACATTAACACAAAAAAACTTAGGACACAAACTTGTACAAACCTATGGAGTGATTTTATTCATATTTGTTTCATTAAACAAGATATTTTTTTAGGTTGGAAAATAAAAAGAAAGAAGTATGGGTACAAAATATATTTGCAGGTTACAGAAATTATGCAAAAGACAAATGTCCTGTCTCGCTAGATCACAGGACCTCTTTTATAAACTGAGGTTTCTGCTAAACAAAATAATGCAAAGTAATGCAAAAGACTTTTAACATGGAACTCGTCTAGTCTTCATACCATGGTGGTGTATCGGAGTCCGGTCTGGGTGAACTCCTGGGACTGGAGCAGCTCTGCCTGGAAGCGAGCTCTAAAGCCACCAGTGTCCGTCTCTTTCAAAACACCATGGAGGGCTTTCCGAAGCACAAGGTCTGTGTCCTGGACGCCCAGCATGTACTGAGAGGCTGCGTGGAGCAAACAGTTCCCGTCTCCTAGAGACACGAAGGAGGAACACAAACAATATTAGCACAACGATTAGCTAGTTTTATACATGGGAGGCAAACTTCTACAATTATATAGCAGGACATGCATGTGCAAATTAAATATGTGCACAGCATATACAACAGACAATTACAGTGTGCACACACACACACACACACACAAGTGCAACAAAGGTCTGGGGATTTCCAGGCTGCTTGTCACAGTATCTGGTGTCTAGACTATTATATGACCCTCACATGTCTGAAAGTATGCACACACTACAGACAAAGCTCAACTTCTACCCAGCTGGCCTGAGAATTGTGGTCCTTAATTCACCTAAAATACATTTGTGAAATATTAAATGTCACTTCTTTATTATCCTAATCTGCCAGGAGTATCTCCATAATTTGTGTTGTCTGGTCTCGTGTCAAATAAAACTACTCCCTCTATATTCTTCAAACCGTCCAGAGAGATAAAGAGTTGGTTTCTCAAAGGGCATTTGTGTGTGTGTGAGAGAGCATGAGTGACTAAAAACCCTGCAATTTCATTATTCTCCAATGGCCGCTCCGGGTCTTTTTCTCGTTGTGAAACAGAAGAGCCCATGTTTGTCAATGTGTGCAGCTCTGAAAAAAAACTCAGCTGCACACTAAACACAGGAATTTCCCTGTTCTAACTTCTGCCTTTTGTGCGTATGTTCCCCTCCTATGATCCCTACGCATCAGAGCTACTCAGCTGGTCCTGGACTTTCCACAGGGGTGTGGCTTGGACAGGATGGAATCTTATCTTTTTAACTACAGCTATCAAAACCGAATGACAGCTGTGATTACAGAGGGCTGAGATAACATCTGAGACTATGCAAAAAGACTTTGTTAAGTGCACTCATGCATAAAATTCTCTTTATCTTTATGATATTGCTCTGTTCACTGAAATTTAACCTGCAACAGTTCACACACACATGATGCAAACAGACCTTCCAGGTCAAGAAAACCCTAATCTAAGAGTTGTTCATGTTACAAAAGAGAACATTGGTTATAAGTTATTTGACAACAGTTTTAAACCATGGTTGATGTCGTGCCATCGTCCAAACTGTGATCACGTCCCTCAAAATAACATCACCTGTGCTGCAAGGTGACCGTAATGTGATACACAGTCATCCAGGAAATCCCACTGTTCTTTGAGAAAAATAACACATGCACTTCTATTTCAGACTAGCTCTAGCTCTTTTTGCATTTCAGCACTCTTGCATCACTCCCAACAAAAAATATAAAATGCACGACACTCTGGTGAGAGAAGGCATCATCTTCAACAGAGACACATACACAGGTGAAAAAAAACTAGGCGCTAACACACTTGTGCAATCACTTCCCTTTTGTGCACAAAAACACACAGACTTCTGACCCTGAATTAAGCTGCCTGACGACTGAGAATGAAAGACGGTCTGCTGGTCCCATCAGTCTAAATATAGACGCTTCCTCTGTGGCAAGCTGGGATACTTCCTGAAAACAGTTGCATAGGACCAGACCCTCATCCATTTGCCATCCAGGTGATGGAAGTGAGCAATGTTGTGCGCATTCCGTGCTTTGTCTGAAAGCTACGTATTAAACAAGTCCTGGCAATGACTAGCTTTGCTACTATTCTGAAAAGAACAAGAGTGCATCTGGCCAAACAATCTGGATTCTACGTGACGAAGAAAAACCTAAAATATGAACTGAAAACAGTGGCCATGTGTGTCCTCTCTGCGAATACAAGTATTGTAGACTCAGTGTATTCTAGCTGGACAAATTCTGCCTGTTGGGGACACATGACAGACATGGGATGCTGCTTGGGAAAAACCCTTGCATGCATCTAGACATTCAACACAGATGACACACTGAATTTCAATTATGCATTTCTTCAGTGAGTGGAAAAGTTAAACGAAGCCAGAAAAAGGATGTGACTCTTTTTTCCAGGGAGTGAGCGTCCTAAAGAGGATGTCTGATTTTGGGACTGGATTGAAAATATTATATTATCTTTATTCATATAGATGAAGGGTTGAGGACAAGATTTTGTGATTAAGGTTGAATTAAGGTCCCAGATGGTGTTAAAACTCAGAGAAGATTGATTAATATGACCTACACTTGCTGGACGTTCATTGACGGACTTCTGTTCTCCCACGTTCTGTGTGTGTGTGTGTGTGTTGAGCTCCAGTGACTCAGCAGCAGTCAGTCCTTTGTGTGTGTGTTATCCGTCCTATGCTCAAAGTCACGTCTGGGTCCTTCAGAGTTAGACACTCCAGCTCTAGATTCTGTCTCATCTTTCTGACATCATCTCTGCAAGCCAGGAAATTCCATCCTGTTTACTGGTAACAGAAGTCAGAAGAGTTTGTCACCAGTTCAGGGGTCTTTCAGAYGAGGAACCATGATGAGGGTTACAGTAACTCCGACAGTAATTACTAACTTCAGGGCCCCTTGCAAACAGTTTCACTCTTTATGAAAGACATGCACAAGGACATAGGAACAAAATACAGAACAAGTTCCTCATCCGGTTACTTTTCAAAGCAAATTACGAGATGCGATTGCTATGAAAATTTGTAACTGCAACCGCAAAGCGCTTCTAATGAGAAAGAAAGATACTTTGGAAACTCACAGGATTAAGACCAACTTAACACCACTTTATTTCTGCTTTCTTCTTCTGCTATGGCTGACGTTTCCCTTATAAATCTGTTTTTTCCGCTCGTCTAAAAATAACCTGACATGACATGTGTTTAAACTTAGGGTCGGCAGATAAGGGTCGGAAGAGACAATGAGACACAGTTGGATTTTGTCAAATTTGATTTGACGATGGCTGCTGAGCGGTGATCCATCTGATGGTCACAAAGGCAACGACGTAAACCTACATCAGTCTGGCAGGTGGGGATGCCGAGGTAAAAGGATTTGAGATGTTTTAAGATCCTCTGACATTCACACCTACACAGAACAAAGGGGACAAACCCCAAAGGTTGTAAAAATGAAAAACTGTGGAAAGAGCTAAGCCTGAAACATCATTAACAGTAAATAATAGATATGTGACGCCAGAGAATTTCCAAGTACAGAGCTGTATAAGGTATGAGGTAATCAAGCCCATGTCTAAATGTTTGCCTGCCCAGGGATGTTCCCTCGTTGCGACCTCCACGAAACAGAAAACATGACTTGGCAAAGGGCTGACTGCCCTTAAACACTCAGCTCAGTAGAATGAAAAGGGGGCTAAATGAATGTAAGTGAAATGGAACCTGTGTCACTCAATTGTTGTCACTTACAGTAACCGTGCTTGTGAGTAATGACATCTGAGAATTTGCATTGCACATCTCCTGTGTCATAGAAAGTGAAACAACCTTTTTTTTTAAACTCTCCCCTGGGCTGAACACCATACTTCTTGAAATCAAGTTTGCATTTGCATTTAAGTTTGACATCAGCTGCCACCAGGTTCCCCTACAAGACAAACCACAAATCCCAAAAACTTCACTTGAGTGCTCAGAACTTCCTGGAGTTTCACACCAAAGTTAGAAAACCAAAAAAAATCAGGTTTACTGCAGACTTCAGACACCAGCTCCATGCCCAAACATCCGTAAATATCGTTCTTACCATTGGTGCGTAACGGCACCATCTTCTTCACCTCCCGACACCAGTTGAGCTTCTTCTCCTGCTCCAGAGAGGCCTGCATGGCTCGGTCCAAGATGGCAGCCTGCACCACCTCCCTGAAGGCCTGCGGGAAGTGGTTCATGGCGATCATCTCCAGAGTGTACCTGTGCATACCCCGCAGGTGGTGCATCAGGCCGCCACTGGTCGCCGGCTTCACCACGTCATTGGGCACTCGCTGACGGATCTTCACCGCCTTCAGCAGGTTGGAGACAAACAGGAATTTGGGGAGGAAGTTTTGACCCTGCGACATGGCGGACAGGTGGCCCGGTGGATGGAAGGAGGGGGACGAAGAGGAGCGAGGAACAAGGAGAAGAGAAGGAGGCAGCACCAACCGCAGATGACCGCGTGGAAACTGGATGGAGAGGAGGGGAGAAGGGGATATTTTATTTCAAAGTAGTGCACAGTAGAAAAGAACACAGCAGACTGGTGGGAAATTTTCAGTGGAGAGTCCCCTTCCTTATTAATTGAGACTCAAGACACAACTTAATTTACAGTTTGTTCGGGAAATCACCCAACGCACAGGATCATCCCACTGCGGAGGCTGCTGGAGAATCTGGTGGGCCAAACACAATAAAGTACACAAAGAACCCTTTTCATCCTTGTTAGTTGTTTTAATTCTCTCTTTCATATCAACAGGGTTTGAGAGTTCCCCCCCCAACAGGGCTTCTTAGTGTCCCACTGAGCTCAAAGCCCTCCAACAACAGAACTGGTGTTTTCCAGACTTCAACCTAAGGCCACCCAGGGCTTCCCAGGCTGCGATAAAGGTCACACCGACTGCCCCAAGGCCTCTTCCTCTAGAAGTCAGCATGGATTCAGTGTTTGTTGAAAATAAAGACAAGACAGGGAATTGTTTGACACATATCAATACCTGTGCCATAGCCAATACTATACTGGTCTCAATAACTGTTGTTTGGTTAGGAAGATAGAAGTTTATTTTTTACGATCTAAAATAAAATCCTATTCTATCCCATTTAAAAATGTGTAACACTTCCAATTAACAACTGTTTTATGTTTTCTTGACACAAGCAGCTATAAAATAACTTTATCTGAATAAACTATAAATGTAAAGTTTCCTGGTTTGAGTTGGGAAGTTCAGTTTGAATGATAAACTAAAACCACTAAGAACATGAGGTGTTGCTTAACTATTGGAATACTTTTCACACTACAGTAACCTTTCCTTTGGATGGTACGTGAGGGTATGAAGGTTCAGAACCACTCTATTAAAAAAGGCACATTTCACTCAAAATGGAGAAACAGTCAGCACAGCAACAGCTCACAGGAAGTGGAAAGTAATGGTCAGCATGTAGGCCTGGAGTTTGGCTGACTTTCTTCTTCTTTCACTTGCAGTAACATCCTCTCGGCAGACATTAATACCTGGATACGTGTCTTCCTGTGGCCTCTGGAGCCTTTCGCTGCCCAAACAGCAGCAGCAGGTGCAACAACAGACACTAGGCCAAAAGCTCCAGGGCTCCTCGGTCACATGAGGGACCGCACACCAAACACCTGGAGGACCCGCTGAAGGCCCCTGCTTTGGTTGAAGTGCCACCGGAGGAGTTTAGGTGTCGGAGGCTGCACACAAACACAATAAAAGCGCACGTCCAGTTACGTAACTCCAATGACAACTACCTCCGAGACAATGTGGCGACGAAGCGCGTCTCGCTCCGCGGGGACCGACAGCGTGTCGGCGGCGGCACCCGACGCTACACTCGACTGTCGGAGGGGGCGATCCGCCGGAGGGTGACGTCTTTGTAAACAATGGCTGTCGTGAGGGAGGCTCCGAGCTTCCTCCACGTCCCCCGGCCACACGTTCGTAACATTCAAGGCCCCGCACGACGCTGGCAGCCGCCGAGTCTCAGCCTCCCTGTTTTCACGGTGTCCACATGTGGAGGACAGGGGGGGAGGGAGAGGAGGAGGAGGAGGACGGCCGCCTTACCTGTGTAATATGTCGGGGTAATAACAAAGCCCTCCCGGATGCTCGGGCTAGTCCTCCACTTCACTCAGCCTCACCGCTGCGGTCCACGGCGCCATTCAACCCGCTCGTCCCCTCGGTACCAGCTCGAGCCCGGAGCCCTCGCAGGTTGCGAAGCGTTTCAAAGCAGCACGCATGTCCGCCACCGATAGTTTTTCTTTTTTAAGGAAACAACCCAAGGGGATTTCCAATCGGGGACTTTCCGTCCATCCATTTTCCCATCTCTCTCTCTCTCTCTCTCTCTCTCT